GGTTAAGACCATTTTGCTCATTGTGAAGTTAAGTGCAGAGCGGTGAAATATATTTAATTAGCATCATAGCTTGTTCCTGTCACAGTAAATGTCATACGATAATCTTATAACAGTGTTTATCAATTTGTCATTAAATGATAGCAGCCATGGAACTTTAAACAGTGACAAATTAAAATTATTGTAAAAACCAATAGGCGTTATTTCGAATGAGTTTATAACTATTGAACAATGTTCATAGTCTTTATTTAAACAGCAATGCAAATTATTAGAGTATTTATTTCTCTTGTATTGCCTGGAGGATTCTAGATTGGTTTCATGGCACACAGTTAATTCTAGAATCTCGATTTTGTTATTTTGAAGATAATAATAATAACAATAATAATAGTAAGAAGAAGAAGAAATAATAATAATAACCTGATTGCCACCCTGGTTATGGCAGGGCCACAGTTTGATTGGCTTGTGGTGGGCGTTCTTATCCACTGAACTGTCCAAACAGGCAGGGCTCAAATTCGTCATGCCGCCAGTTTTGCCATTCACCTTGTTTCTCACCTGATTGGTTGGTCGGTTGGATCCATTCATTCATTCATTCATTCATTTATTCATTTGTTCGTTCATTCATCCATCCATCCATTAACACGATCCATCCATCCACTAACTTCTCCGGAGGCCAGGGCTTCTCCGGGGACGAATAATTCCGGGAAGATATTCTTGAGGTACCAGTCGAAGGACTTGCATTTCAGTTTTTTCCTCAACTCTTTCCTGGCTGTCACGTCTCCATAGTCGCCCTGCAGTCAATCAATCAATCAATCAATCAATCAATCAATCAATCAATCAATCAATCAATCAATCAATCAATCAATCAATCAATCAATCAATCAATCAATCAATCAATCAATCAATCAATCAATCAATCAATCAATCAATCAATCAATCAATCAATCAATCAATCAATCAATCAACCAATCAACCAACCAACCAACCAACCAACCAATCAATCAATCAATCAATCAATCAATCAATCAATCAATCAATCAATCAATCAATCAATCAACCAACCAATCAATCAATCAATCAATCAACCAATCAATCAATCAACCAACAAATCAATCAATCGACCGACCAACCATATCGTAATTTAATCTCTCGTAATAATATTTCTTGTATTCATCCATCCACACTTCGGCCAACCTAATTGAATTCTTCTTAACTACGTTTGTGCCTGAATGAGTGAATGAATGAATGAATTAATTAATGAATTAATGAATGAATGAATGAATTAATGAATTAATGAACGAATGATAGAATGAAATCTATTAATGAACGCCTGCGAGTACGAACGAAAGATCGGTTAAACAAACAAACAAATGCCTGACGGAACAAACAAGTAAAGAAATAATTAAATAATTGTTGTTGTTGTTGTGTGTGTATATGTTTGTGTATGTGGTTAATACCTAACTAACTCTATCTCTCTCTCTCTCTCTCTGTGTGTGTTAGTGTGTGTGTGCGTGCAAATGATTTCTACCTACCTGTCCTCCAGGCGTATGGGCTTCTGTGCCTGAAAATGTGGCCCACGTGACTGCACATCACTTGCTCAAGTCGACCGCCACACATCCACACCTGCCAGTGAATGAATGAATGAATGAATGAATGAATGAATGAATAAATGAATGAATGAATGAATGAATGAATGAATGGACTATTAGTTAATTATTCAGTCATTTCTTCATACAATTATTCTACTATTCACTCAACCAATCAGCCAACCAGCCAGCCAGCCAACAAACCAACCAACCAACCCTGAAAGATAGCTCGAGATTCTCTCCCCCCCAGATGTCCATACCGGGGTCGTACCTCCCCAAGTATTCAAAGTACTCTTTACTTATGCCAAACAAGCCACCTGCCATCGTGGGACTCCTGATGGTGATGGTGATGATGTCGAGGAAAGTGTTGATAATGATCGTAATTAATGATAATAATAAAAATTGTTGATTGTTGTTCTTTCGTTCGTTCATATACACTCCACTGGTGCGAGAACAACAAAAACAAAACCTTCAAAAACTCCTAAACCCACAACAACAATTACAACCGCCCCTAACAACTGGGACTAACAAATTAACCCCCCAAACCCACACCACAACACAACACTAACTCCACAGGGTCGACCGCGGACTTCCTCCTATTAATCTCCCTCTGTGGTATCTGGTGCCAGTTAAACTGCAGGTTCCAATCGAAGCCACCGATGCTCGTGGTTTTTGCACTCGACCAAATATACCTGCAGACAGACAGGCAGAAACACAAAACTACATGCACGTACACACACACACCACACACACACGTACACACACACACACAAAGACACACACACAGACACACATACACAAACACACTTTAGTGTGTTGTCATAGAAACACAAAATTAAATACAGGTACACACACACAGACACACACACACACACACACTTTAGTGTGTTGTCATAGAAACACAAAATTACATAGAGGTACACACACACGTACACACACAGACACACACTTTAGTGTGTTGTCATTTATGACGTCAATGATAGGAGCTACAACGTTGGATCTGTTTTCTGCAATCCTGTCTAGTAGCGGCTCCAACCAACCTGTATATGTATGTATATTTGTTTTTATATTTGTATGTATGTATGGTTGTTTGTATGTATGTTTGTACGTACGTATGTATGTATGCATGTATGTATGTATGTATGTATGTATGTATGTATGTATGTATGTATGTATGTATGTATGTATGTATGTATGTATGTATGTATGTATGTATGTATGTATGTTTTTATGTATGTATGTTTGTACGTATGTATGTATGTTGGTGTGTATCTTCCTAATTACTAACTAACCAGTAGTACATTCGCAATGGGAGTCGAGGAATATTAGAATGGGGGCAGAGGCCACGGAGGCCCCAATCAAGCGGGCCCTGATCAACCCCTCCCTACTCTCCCCCCTCATTATCTTTACCTGGAGAATGAGAGTGAATTTATCTATCTATATTTATATATCTATCTATATATTTATCTATATTTATTTAATTATTTATCTTTAATTATCTTTTTAACTCAGTTATTTTTCTCATTTCATTTCATTAACTATTCATATATCTACCAGCGGTGACAGCCACAAGACATACACAGTCTTATTAGCTAAGCGCATATTCAACTTCATAACTTTTATTCACTTATATGATACGTTGTTTATGATGGAAAAACTTTGAAAATGAAATGAAAACGAATTGAAATAATCCTATATAACTGTATAATCTATTATATATATAGAATTATATGGTGTTATATGGTGTTATATAGAGTTATATAGAGTTGTATAGAGTTATATAGAGTTATATAGAGCTAAATATCAATCAATCAATCAATTGGTTTTCAAAGTTTTTTTATAGGTAGCCAGTGCAAGAGAACAAGATATGGAGATATATGAGAAAAGAAAGGGACACGAGAAACTAGACGAGCAGCTGAGTTAAAAGCTTTACTTAAAGAATAGAATGTTATATAGAGTTATATATGGTTATATCCATTTATATAGAGTTATACAGAGTTATATAAAGTTGCATAGAGTTATTATCATTATCAGTAATAGTAGTTGAGGTAGTAGTGGTAGTAAGGTTCTATCGTCATAATTAAAATCACCTTCTTCAGTTTAGCCATATATTCATCTAATGGTTCTTTCAAGTGAGCTGCACGTTAAAGGAAATGTCAATCAACCAATCAATCAATCAATCAATCAATCAATCAATCAATCAATCAATCAATCAATCAATCAATCAATCAATCAATCAATCAATCAATCAATCAATCAATCAATCAATCAATCAATCAATCAATCAATCAATCAATCAATCAATCAATCAATCAATCAATCAATCAATCAATCAATCAATCAATCAATCAATCAATCAATCATTAATTCATTCATTCAATTAATCAATCAATCAATCTGTCGTCAACCCCAGCCTTATGATTTACGTAGTCACTCGTTAATTAACTCGTTCGTTTATTCGTTTATTCATTTATTCACACATTAGTTCATTGTTTGTTTTGAACGTCACACATTTATCCAATCTTATATCGATTTAATCATTCATTCATTAGTTCAATCATTCATTCATGCATTCATCCATCCATTCATTCATTCGTTCGTTCATTCATTCATTCACTCACTCACTCATCCATTCATTCATTCGTTCATTCATTCATTCACTCATTCATTCATTCGTTCGTTCATTCATTCGTTCGTTCATTCATTCATTCATTCATTCATTCATTCATTCATTCATTCATTCATTCATTCATTCATTCATTCATTCATTCATTCATTCATGCAACCAGCCATCTTAACTAACGCAGATCTGAAAAGTCATCGACCAGTATGACCTCTTTCACTAACTCCGGCGGACTCCTGTCTAGGACGCTGTGGACTGTCCTTAGTAGGACGGTCCAGGCCTCGTTGTGGAAGATTATTATAACGCTGGCAGGCGGAAGAACGGGATTGTACTTTCTGGTCTTGCATCTAGACGTGTGTGTGTGTATGTGTGTGAGTGTGTGTGCGTGAAGGTGTATGTATGTGTGTGTGTGTTTTTATAGTTTTGTACGATAGACTAAATTTCATATAAATTCACATTTTTACTACTACTGCTGCTATTGTTGCTACTACTACTACTACTACTACCACTACTACTACTACTACCACTACTACTACTACTATTACTACTGCTAATTACTATAGTATACTAGTAAATAACTAATTTGATGATTACTAAAAATAACAAGAAATGTGTGTGCGTGTGTATTTTTGATTAAAATTATCGGATTTGAAGCACGATCATGTCTATGATGAAGAGGATGAAGATGAAGACGATGATGATGAAGAGGATGACGATGATGAAGACGACGACGATGAAGACGACGACGATGATGAAGATGATGAAGATGAAGACGACGATGACGATGATGAAGACGACGATGATGATGCGAACGACAGCAAAGAAGTTTCGCTGAAGCAAAAATGCACGGGCACAAAATCGATGAAATTATAAATCAATATCATTATCATCGCCACTATCATTATCAGCAGCAGCTAAAGCGGCTACTACAGCAGCAGCAATATTATTATCACCACCATCATCCAAATCATCATCATCATCTATATAGTTATCTTCTTTATAAGCGTCACAAATGTTCTTCTCTTAATCAATAATGTACAAAAATAATAATAATAAAATCATTAACACTGATATCATTATCAGTAATGATATCATCATCATCATCATCACAGCCAGTATTATAACCAACCAATCAGCCATCCAACCAATCAGAGAAACGACCATTCAACCAACCAACCAATCAAACCTTCACCAACCAATCAACCAACCAACCAACCAATCAAACCTTCACCTACTCAAGCAACCAACTCAAGCAACCAACTCAAGCAACCAACCAACTAACCAACCAACCAACCAGCCAACCAACCAGCCAACCAACCAACTAACCAACCAACCAACCAACCAGCCAACCCTCACTTACTCATCATCTCTAACGTCAGGCAGTGTCCGGTGTAGCGACATCAGGTCACTGGCGTATTGATTAAATGCGTTACTCTGCCAGCCACTTTCGAATTTAACTTTCTCCTCTGGGGAAAGTTTATCTTTATCGACCGTCATTCCAGCTCCATTCTCGCCTGCGGATTAGTAAATTAGGAAATCAAATCAGTTTTGCTAACCACCGTGCACAGCGCTCTGGATACTCATACAATATGGAAAGAGAGAGGAAGAAAGATAGGGAGAGAAAGAGAGAGAGAGAGAGGGAAAGTAAAGTTAAAAGAGAGTAAAACCAAATTAAATGCAAGATAGACACGGCTTAACCAGATGATGATGATGACGACGACGACGATGTTAAATAACGATGCTGACATAACAGACGATAATGATAATTATCATCTTATCTGCCAGGAAACAGCTGTGTACATACATACATACATACGCCAGCGTTTAACAACAACTACTACTACTACTACTACAACCACCACCACTACAACTACTACTACCACTACCACCACCACCACCACCACCACCACTACTACTACTACCACTACTACTACCACCACCACTACTACTACTACTATTACTACTACTACTACTACTAACAACGATAATAACAATAATAAAGGAATCATGAATTCGCACTGTAATATTTTTTTCTATAAGAAGTATACACACAAACACACACACACACACACGCAAACACACACACGCACGCACACACATACACGCACACGCATTTAGCAGAGCAGATGTAACTAATAAAATATTTTATTTTTTTTCTCAGCTGTTGTTTTAATAATGAGGCAGTGAATTCTTATCTGAATAATATTAATAGCTACACACCAATCAGTTGTTATAGTAGTAGTAGAAGTTGTAGTAGTAGAAGTAGCCGTAGAAGCAGCAGCAGCAGTAGTAGTAGTAGTTGCAGTAGTAGTACTGATAGTAGTAGTAGCAGTAAACGTTTTATTATTTTATTGAAGGCAAGAACTGCAGTTGTGACAGCAGCTACGGGTTACATGACGTTATAAAAATAAATACAAAACAAAGAATTAAGAAATAAATAAAGTATGAAACAGAGAATATATAACAAATAGAGTAAAAATGACCTTCCTTGAAATCCCCAACCGGTTTTTCCGGCTGTGAATCCCACCTTGGAACAATCAATCCCTCCTCTATCAGCTTACTGATCACAGAATCCGACTTGGCATTACGTGATTTTTCACTAATCTGGGGGCCGTCTATTTTTAGATCTTTGAACGGGGGGTGTGCCTGATTCTGGATTCTCCTAATTCGTTCGGCTTCCAGTTGGACTCTTTCCGCTTCGTCCAACTGTCTCTCTCTCTCCTCTCTCTCCGCATCTCTCTTCATAGCTTCTAACAGTCTGCGGGTTTACATGAATGATGGCATTGCATTATTATTATTATCATTGTTATATTATATTATATCGTTATCATCATTATTATTATTATTATTATCGTTATCAATATTATTATTGTTATATTATTATTATTATTGTTGTGAATGCGCACATAGACAATGATGCACAATAGAAATAATGGAATTTGAGGGCACTTATAAAGTTCTTATCTTATTTAAATTAATAACTAATTGACAGTTAGTAATTATAGTTATAATATTTATAATAAAAATAACACTACAGCTACTAATAACAATAATAAAAGTAATCACAACAAGTTTTTCACTAGCCCAACACACACACGCGCGCGCACACACACACACACACGCACGCACACCCACCTACACACTAATTTACCAACCTCAGTCTATCATGATTAGGCCTCTCTATGATAGGCTGGGTGAATGTATGATCTTTTCCATCTAGAAACTCATTCCAGATCGCGTCAGCCTGCAAGTTGATGGCAAAATTAGAAAACTTCTCTGTAGATGGCGCATTTCCACTATTGAAGAAGATGATTACAAGCATGAAAGCAAAGCCGGCTACAAAGCTAAGCTTTAGGATGGTGTTGAATTTCTTTCTTCTTATAAACATTTTTATATGTCATTAAGTTTTTTCTGGTGTGAATTGCGCGACTATGTGAGTATGTGCGCGCGCGTGTGAGAAAGGCAAGGTAATTTCAAATGGATGGAATATTCTAGGCTATGTTGAATCAATGGCAAGTTAACTTTCTTATGTGTCAAGCAGATATTGTTTAGTAATTTTTTTTTACAAAAATGTTGTTTCTCCTTCCCTCTTTATATCTACTTCTCCATCTCTGACTTTTCCTTCTGTATACTTTTTCTAACTCTTATAAAAAATATCCCAACCAATCCCTTTTGTTGTATGTATATGATATGAGATGTTATTTGAAACTAAAAATTAAGCTCTACAGAACTAAACAAATGTGAAATGAATAAGTAACAATGTTTTAATATCTTTGGTCTATATGCATCATGGAATATGCTGAACACAAAAAGTACAGTACTCTATGTATATGACATCAATCTACAATAACTTTTGTAATTGTGAATATCTCTGATTGGGTATTTCTGAATATTTGTCAGTAGGTTTTCTTGCTATTTTGAAGCTCAGAAGACAGTGTAAACATACAATGGCAGGCATATGATGAGAATATAAATGGGCTGATGTAATGATCTTGGCAATCAATTTATTATATTGACATCTTCTTCGTCATCACATCTTACTGTGGTATTCTGTTCAGCATTTAATAAGTTAACAGTGATTATTTTTACAGTTAATTTTTGTTAAGAAGAAATTAAAAGTTTCTAAGCAAACAGTCAATGAGTATATGTCATGATGATATAAAATTATAAATAATTTAATTAAATTGGAAAAGCATTATTACATGATGAATTGTTTTGATTATCTAAAAATTTAAAAAAGTGAGAACCAAATTTTGAATGACTATAAAATAAAAAGTGATAAAGAAACCGGATTCACTAATCACTGACTAGAAAAAAAGGTGAGGCGAATACCCAAGTAAACTGTAAAGTAAAGGTAATAAATAGTACACCTTGATTTTGCTTGCTTGGATAACTTGAACTTCACAATAATCAACAAACTGAAAAAATTAAAAAACCCGGAACAGAAATTTTTAACAATCTTGAACAAAATTCTATAAAGAATCGAAAGACAAATTAATAAATTGAACAATTTAAATAAAAAAAAAAACTCTTAAGTCGAAAGCAACAAATTAACTAGTTTACGTGGTTAGGTTATTTTAATTCAAAAATTAAAAAGTTGAACACTTGGCCTTTACGTTACCCTTTGTATTAATAAATAATAAATGAATTAAAAGTAATGTAATGTATAAAGTTGACGTTAAAATTTAATATATAAAACAAAATTTTTAATTTAAATAACCAAAATAACAATTTTTGACTTTGTTATTGCGATTTTTGGTATTTTATTACCTACATTTAAATTTCATTTTATGCACATACTTTCCATAGATTCTGAGCTGGATGCAATTTTAAACATTTAAGAGTAGACTTCACTCTTAACGTTACTGTTGAGTTTTTCCTAAATTTTTTTAGTCCTCGGCCATCATCATAGCCTGAAATTTGTTGCCTAGTTTGCCCTGAGTTACAAGTTTACAAGAAATGTTGCAACTTTTTAGTTTTTCAAGTAATGTTATTCAAATAAAATGTTAATAAAAGCTGCCGGATTGATTGTGTACAGATTTTCGAATGTCAGCAGCAAGAAAGCAATTGAATTTCTGTTACTGAAAGCTTCGTACGGTAACCATCACTGGTCCCCACCTAAAGGTGTTTTTTTTTAGTAAAATAAAAGATCGTTATTTTGTCAGGGATAAGTTTTTTTAACTGAATTTTTAAATCTCCACTGCAGGTATTGTCAATGATAAAGAAGATTTGATTGAAACGGCCGTGAGAGAAACGAAAGAAGAGACTGGCCTTGACAAGCAATATCTCAAAATTTTTTATGATAAACTTCCAATCATATCAGAGTACAAAATAAATGGAAAACCAAAGACAGTTTACTACTGGGTGGCTAAATTATTAGCTCACAAAGAAATAATCTTATCAAAGGAACATGTTAAATATAAATGGTGTGACTGCAGTGAAGCCTACAATCTTGTTGGCCATGAAGAGATGAAGGTTGCCTTGAAAACAGCCAGCACCATCATTAGCCAGTCCAGCTGATTTTACCTATTTTCTTTTGCATTTTACAGTGACAATTTATTTAAAATTTTTGGAATTTAGTTCAATTTGCATCAGCTATAACTTGGTTTTGTGTTATCATGTATATATAGCAATGTAACAGTGAAGTAACTATCTTTGATACTTAAATAATTTGATCTCTAGATTTTTTTACCTGAAAAGTCATTTTTTACTTGTTAGTTTTTGCGTGGTGGCGTAAAGTTTGCGCGTTAGAATAATTTCTATGCATAATTCTTAAGCTCATACATAAGAAATG